GCAATCCCCAGAGCACCCTCAAATCACATCATCGAAATATAACAGCAGTTAATAACCAATTATTAGCAACATAATTTCTAACCAACATTTGGCAGAACAAAAGGAATAAGGTATACTAATTATTAAAGTTAATTTACAGTCCCATAGGTGCCTGAGTTTTGTGTCCATAACTGCAGTTTAATAAAAAGGTACATTATACTTCTGCAACCAGTATTCTTCATGAAAAATTTCCACAGCAGCGTTTAGTAAACGCTGTGTCATGTGATATTTCCCCTTAAAGATAAGTCCCATTTCTTTAGAACTTATTTTTGCCAAGTGCTAATGTGAACCTTCTATTTATTAATTGATTGTTCTAGAGTACGGGATGAAAGACACAAAACGGAGGGGAAAAAATGGAACAGAAAAAGACAAAAATTTGTACAGAAAGGCAGCTCAATTTTTAAAATATAGCATTAAAGAAGTAAACCTAAAGCTTTAGGTATTTTTCCAACAAAGATCATAAAAGTTGGTTGAGTATATTCGGTATAGACATAACATAGTGCACTGTTGGGGTGTTGTTTATTTAAGTTCTTTATTGTGGGACTTAAAGAAAGCAGGTCATTACACTGCAGGATTACAGATAGTTCTAAAGAGGCCACAAACTTTCTCTCACTGCTAGATCTTTCTTTGTTTAGATAAACATCATATTCTCATTTGCAGTTCAGACACTCGGTTAAAGCAGAAACTTGATCAATTATAGAAGAGCAACTCCCTTTCCCTTTCCTCCCCTTCAGATGTACATTGGTCAGCAGCATGTATCCTGTCATAATTTTTTAAAGAACTCTCCGCTTTCTCTCTCTCTCTCTCTCTCTCTCTTTTTTTTATCTTTTCAAAAGCTGCAGGGAAGGTTGAGCTACCCGCCATCCTCTTTTCCTCCTGTGCCCCGACAGCTGATAAATGACAGTACATTTGTTCCACTGCAGAGTGAAATATGAAATCCCATAAAGGCGTCTCACTTATTAGATAGTTCTCAGCAAGCTGCTTATTACGCATTGTGGCATAATGCAGATTACAGACGTGACCAAATGATAATTAGCAAAGCTGGAGCAGCAATTAGTGTTCTTCTGCTGAGTACTGATTACCTTTCATAGTTGAAGAGCAGCTGAACAGTTTGCAAACCTACAACTTTTCTGACTCTAAACACTTCAAGAAGTGCCCCGGCTCTGCCTCCAGGGAAGTGTTGTGGTGAACCAATTTCCATCTTCCAAGACAAATCGACTGTCCCTAGTTCTTTGCCAAATGTTTTGCTGTAACACGAGAAGGAAGGAACATCTGCTTGGGATTAGAGAATAAAAATTTCTGGAGCAGCTGATTAGGTTCGTTTTCTCCTGTCCCAAACAGCAGGCAGAAGTCTCTCCTTTATTCTCCCTGGTGGCAAAACCTTGACCTTCAGCTGGCAATGTTGGGACTCCACCTACCGCGCCCTTATGAGAGAATCAATCCAGTGTGTAGCGTTAGAATCAAAAATTACTTCCTTCAGTTCCTATTGTCAGAACTGCTTTTTAAAGAAAGAAAGAAGGGAAGTAGTATGGCTATCTTTGATTAATGCAGCCTTCCTTAGCCTGGAAACCCTAGTATACATGGACTGTTAATACTTTATTGTATTTATTTGCGTCACTCTGGTTTTGTTGTGTTAAATTTTGCTGGACGTTGATCAAATAAATATTGATTGATTTTCTGTTTCCGGAATCTTAGCAATGATGAAAGTATAAATAATGTTGTGTTGCTTGTGTTCTGACTTGGATGAAGGGTTTAGCTGCCTCCACTGCTAGAATTTCTGCTTAACTGAGAACAGGGCACCGTGTTTATCCTTCATTCCTTGTGCCATTCGTAAGCGGAGCAGAAAGCTAAATACATCAATATGCCTCCACAAGGGCACTCAACAGGGTCAAGGATCCTGTTCAGCAAAATGTAAGTTACTCCACTCCTTACGTACACAAATACACATAGACAAACTCAAGGAGAGAAGGAGATTTGTGTTATGCTAAGAACGCGGTCGCCTTGCAAATAGGGGCTTACGTCAGGGTGCGTGCACATCTGAGGTATGGCTTTACTGCCCTTGAAAAAAAAACCAAAAAAAACCCAGGGTATAGCTTCTGTTATCTGCCTGGACAAACATAGCCAGCTCGATCACTACAGATTAAAAAGGCAGACGGTATTAAACGTTGATCAGATAAGATCGGCTTTGTTTGGCTAGCTGTCCAGAGCAAACATGTACACAGAAGAAAAAGAGCCTAATGCAGGCTAGCAGGCAGTGACACTCTGGGTGGTTTTTTTTTTCCCCTGCTGTGTTAACTTGACTGGAAGTGAAAATCCATTCCCAGAACTCAGCAGTGCCTACATTCTTGGGCACCGAACCTTGCCAGAGGGTAGACAGCTGTTTCCCTCAGTTATTGCGTATGTGATGGGAGAGATTTAATGAGATTGTGTGCACTGAAGGATAAATACAAGCATTTCCCCCTCTTCCTGGTCCAGCAGAGGCCCCGCCCGGGCTTCAAGATAATTCTATCATCTTCGAAGCATGGCTGTACCTGTCAGTTGAAGCGGTTTAATAACTCAGGGCTTGCAACTCTTCCCCTCCTCAAAAACGTTTGCAGGAAGAAAAGAAAAAAAAAAGGCATAGATGCTCTTCTAATGTTCTGGACAAGCAACACTGAGCATGCAAGATTCAGCTTGCTCCATTTCCCTGTGTTTAATTGCTTCATAAAAAGACAGTGCTGCTCTGTGTGTGTGTGCGTGTGAGAGAGAGAGAGAGAGAGAGAGAGAGAGAGAGCATTTGCAGCAACCAAGGGTCTGGCAACCGTTCAAAAACAGAATTAGCTTGAATGAGAGTGCGTGGCTGTTGGCAGTCGTGTTCCATAAATAACCTCTGATTTTATGGTCACCAGTGCTCACGGGGAAGAGCATGCAGGTTATCTTTTGGCAAAGGGGATGGGGTTTGGGGCTCACCCGAAACGAAAAAGCCACGCTCCAACCTGCAGCAGCAAGCGGGCAGATTTCCCAGGGTGACATCTTGAAGGCTTTATCTCCCTGGCTGGAATGGGTCTGCACTTACCAAAGGAAACTCAGACCATCACTTAACTGCAGAGTGACATGTCATGGAGTTCTCAAATTAGCGGATGATGCAAGGGACAACAATAGCCAAGTTGGGAGGCTTGTTTTGTGGAAGGAGTGCGCTCTGGGTGAGCAGCCAGCTTTCTTACACTGCAGCTCATGTTTCAGCCTAGAAATCTATTAACTTTCTCTGGTGGATGCTTAAATTGGAAGAGCGAGGATGCTTTGCCATATGCAACAGCTAGATCCCTGGGCTGGGTGAATAAGAATATAAACCCGTGATGGCGAACCTATGACACACGTGCCAGAGGTGGCACACAGATCGCTCTCTGTGAGCACACAAGCTGTTGCCCTAGCTCAACTCCGCCACGCATGTGCTCATGCTTCTCACCAGCCAGCTGTTCTTTGGGTCTCTGCTGTGCATGTGTGGGGACAGGGTGCATGGACAGGGTGCATGGGGATGCACATGCATGCATGGGGGTGGGGCAGGGGTGAGATTCTACCAGTTCGTACCTATTCGCTAGAACTGGTTGTTAATATTCTAAGCAGTTCGGAGAACCGGTTGTTAGAAGAAATTACTGGGCTAATCCTGTAAGGAAGGCAGGAAGGAAACATTCTGGTGTTGCTTACAGACACTGCCTCTCAGTTAACCCTTATTATATTCTTGGCAGGACTAGACTTCCTGTCTCAGGAACTTCTCTGGAGTTTTTTCCCCCTCCTTTGCTGGTACTCTGCTTGTGTGGAGTGACCATTCAAAGTTACAATGGCCCTGAAAAAAAGTGACTTCTTATGACCGTTTTTCACACTTAGGACTGTTGCAGCATTCTCACAGTCATGAGAGGCCAGACGCGGAGATGCGTGTCTCGATGTGAGTGATATTGAGTTGGCCACACCCAGCCAATAACATGACCACCAAGCCATGTCCACCAACTAAGCCACGTCTACAGAACCAGTTGTTAAAAAAATCTGAATCAAATTTGAAAATTCGATGCATGTGCCCAGGGTTGCGTGCACGTTGCATTTGGGGGGGTTGCACGCGCAGCACACTTGGGGCACCCAGTGCCAAAAAGGTTAGCCATCACCGATACAGATACTTGATGGCAGGCATCAAGTGCCTTTTCCATAGGAAGCCCGAGTCCTGCCCCAGACAGAGGCTTTGAGATGGAACTTCCATGTGTACCTTTAGATGGAAATCCTAGATGTCAAGGAGAAAGTTGTCTATGTTTATGATGCTAGTTTGCTGTGTGTAAGAACCCTATTATCCAGGAGGAAAATTTTGCTCCGTATTAAAATCCTATCTGAAGTCTAAAGTGGCACAATTCGGGCTTAAACTTGCACGAAGCATTTTCATTGGGAGCTGCCCAGAGTTTGATAAAAAAAAATAAATGGGCAGCCCTATAAATGTTTTAAACACGTAAATAAACTTGCCTGCCTAGATTTCTACCTCTTTCTCCCTCCAAACGAATATCCTTTGGTTTGGCAGCCTAGCACAGAGGCAAGGGCTAGAGAATGGATATTGGTGTGGTGTCATGAACTGAGAGGACGTGTTCTTGGGGAAAGGTTAAAGCTTTTTCCACAGCTGGTCAAAAGGGCCAAGTCGGGCTTTCTAAAGTAGGTGTGTCCAACTTTTTAAGACTCGTGGACTTCAACTCCCAGCATTCCCCAGCCAGCTTGTTGGAAGTCCACAGCTGTTAAAGTTGCCCAGGTCGGACCATCCCTGTAATTGTTCTTCACTGATAAATATGCCAGATAAGAACTTACTACCATCATTCGTGAAGATAAGGTCAAGTATAGTAGGGCTTGTGAAAGAGCCCTAGTTTGGGAAGTTGCATGTGGCGGTGGGACCCCGGGACCCCTCGATGGTTGGTATGCCTCAGTTGTGACTGCTTCATTTTCTGTTTTTCCAGATGGAGTCTCCTGTGTCCACCCCTGCAGTGCTACCACTGCATCTTCTTGTCCCTGTTGTTAACAGTGATATCTCGTCACCATGTGAACAGATAATGGTACGCACTCGCTCTGTAGGGGTGAACACCTGTGATGTGGCACTAGCTACTGAACCAGAGTGCCTGGGCCCCTGTGAACCTGGCACCAGCGTTAATCTGGAAGGCATCGTGTGGCAGGAGACAGAAGACGGTAGGTGTCCTTTAGTATACTTGTTTTAGACCAGTGCTGGTCACTTGGATCGATACAATGTAGTAGATCATACCACCACTGTAAGTTGCAGGCTTGCACGCGCGTGCGTGCGTGCGCGCGCGCGTGCATACAATGGTCCTGTGTTCTAGAGCCAAAAAGATGAATGCATTGATTTGAAGCTCCGTTCATTCATGAATCTCCTTTGTTTAAAGCCTTGCGTTTTCCGAAGCCATCTCTCTCCAAGCCATCGCTCGGTTTAAACTCTTTTAATGTTTGCACCTCTGAAAGCAGCGATTGTAAACATGTGCAAACGTTCTAAATTGGAGAGAAGCTTTTGATTTCCGTTACCAAAATGAATGAATGCCCTCCTTTGTTTCCGAAGCTAGAATGTCCTTTTCCACCAGCCTCTGATCCACAAAAAAATGTGTTTTTAAGATACCATAAAACTCTTTTTTTTTTTTTGGTTGCTTTTGCTGCAAGAGATTAATGCTGCTACCCCTTTAGAAACTTCTGAAGAGGTATGATTTGCCTTGGCAAGGAGCCAGTAACAATTGGGAGGTAGTCAATTATCTTTGGAGAGAGGGATATACAAAGAAGCATCTCGCGCTGAGATGCAAAGCGCATATCCTTGGCTGTTACTGATCCATTTTGATGTGATGCCAGTCAGAGTGGAATTGACAGATTCTGAGAGGTTATAATTTGGAGAGACAAAGACATGCTGACAAATGTTCTTTCCAAACTTACTTGGCGCACACACTTGTGTATCTCCAGGAGCTTGTGTGAGAAGCTGACTGATGAGAAGAAGAAGAAAAAAAAAATCCCTACCTCATCACTCAGCTTTATCATCTTGGGTATACTTGGCTTTCCGCTGATGGTTTTCCTTTTCTCTATAACTTAAAAACATTCTAATGAATAGGTGAACCTGCCAGACAGGATGAAACAAATATAGAAAGCTCATGCAGGGTTTTCTGACTTTTACCATTTGATAGCTCTGTTAGATATCAAGTTGAGTTAAGGGGTTAATAATTTGTTGTTAGTGGCAGTTCCAAATATTGATTCCCTGGCTGTTGACGAGAGGAAGGGCCAACCTGTGGTCAAATTGGTCAGGTTTTGAACTGGTACTTGTGTCCTAATAAATCCAAGCTCCATCACCCTAGCCGAACTCCTGAAATTGTCAAGATGATCTGTGTACTGATCAGGATCTGAGCACATTACCACACGTTTCAGAGAAAACTACTTCAGTGGGGGCAAATGAGACGATCCTCATCCTTTCCTGCTTGTTATTATCTCGGATGCGTTGGCAGAATTACCCTTTTCTACAACAGCTATAATTTCAGATCTTGCCTAGAGGTTATTCTGTGATTCCTGCAGCTTAACTATTTTTAGCCAGCGCTCACTGTAAATGTGCAGAGTTCTCGTCTGCCACATTACTCCAGCTGTGCCATGGTTCATACTGTCAGAGGAATAACATAATCCTCTCACAACGAAGTCTTTGCATCCTTTGGATCAGTTTTGAACTATTTACGTTGCTGTGTGTGTTTTCTAATTGTGCATTGGGCAAGCCCTTGGTGGCCTACTTAACAATGGTACTTGGATTTCAGGGGATGGTTTACAATTTTGCCTGATGAATGCGTTTCTTTTATATGACCTATGATGCCAAGCCAGAAAAACAGATTGCCACAATCCTTGTTCATTTACTTTTGTCGTTTGTGGCAAGCAAGTCCCTTTTAGGCGAGCAAGAAGAAAATTCTGATTCTTCTCTTTCTCTTCAATCCTTACGATGCAAAGCGAACATTCGTAATGCAGTTGTTTGCATGGTTGGGCTACTTACCCAACGACTTAGTTCACACGTGACATTAGACACCAGGCTCATTTTCAGCACTAAAGACTTCATTTTGCTGAAGCCACAGTTTCCAATATAATTATACAGGTAATTTCACTGATACTCTGGTAAATTGGAATTCTTGCATTCTGAACTGATTACAAGTCAATTAACTAAGAAATGGGTCCCCTTTTGCCTTAATTGAGTCTAAAGCAGGGGTCTCCAACCTTGGCCACTTTCAGCCTGGCGGACTTCAACTCCCAGAATCCCCCAGCCAGCAAAGCTGGCTGGGGAATTCTGGGAGTTGAAGTCCTC